TCACCTGGTGGAACAGCCCCCGGGTGGATGGAGGGCCTGCAATGCTGGTCGTGCCTGTGATGTTATGGAGACTGTAAAAGCCTTTGGCCTCAGAGGTTGGTGGCTCAGCGGGTGAGCCTGTCCTGCAGGGCTGATGTCTCTGCAGGGGCCTGGCAGCGTGGGCACGGTGCCTGCCTCGCACCCCTGCCCAGGCAAGGCGGTGTTCACCGCTCTGTTCTGCGCAGAGCAGTTTATGGCAGTAGGTTGCATCGCGGTACTTAGCTCTCGCGTTTTCAGCTTAGCAGTGAGAAGCAGGTCTAGGAAGTGTTTCTGTGTAAGTGGTTTAAAAGAAGAAAAAAAGCCTACACCGTTAGAAAGAGCTGTACTTTTTTTGCAGCTGTGACAGTATTCATAATGCAGCAGCTGCCAGCAGCCCCAGAGATGCTGAGCGCTGTATTTCATTAACCATACCTTGAGAATACACACAGCATGTGTTTTTTCCCCCCACTGGGAATTGTGTTTTGCTGCGTGTTACTCAGTACGTCATACTGTGGTGAGTGAGTCTTTAAGAAATGGCTGCAGCGGTGACATCCTGCATTATGTAATGTGGGAGGACAGCACTCCCGGGCTGCCTGGGGCCGCTCTGCCGCAAGCAGAGCTGATCATGTGAGAAAGGCCAACCTGGTCCATCCCAGATACAGAGAAAGCCTCTTTGTGAGTCATCTCCATGCTCATTTTTAGAGCTGGGAGGGGGGGAGGATAGGACGTTTCTTGTGTGCCAGGAAAGTGATCGTCAGATACATGCAGGTCAGCATCCTCTCCAGAGATGCACAACTGTGTCCCCACCACCTCCTGGGATCACAGGGAGAGGAGTTCTGTGTGGCACACAGCACCTACCTTCTCTGCCCCTCAGCATGACTGGAGACCCCCAACTTGGTGCAAATTCCTGGTTTTTATACTGAGACTGTTAGCAAAAGCGTTAAGATTGCTCTCTGGGTTCAACTTTGATGAGCTGCAGTAGTTCCACTCCCCCATGCCTCTTCTAACATCACCAGTTGTCTCTCCTCTTCCTAATTCCTTATGTGCTTCACAGTTCCTGCTTAACTGTGGCTTCCTGCATGATACCACAATGTTACTGAAGTTCACCTAAGGTCTCTGCTACCTGTCCCTTGTCTAGACAGTTGGGTATTACCAAAGATGTCACATAGCTTTGGCACAGTCCCCCTTGGTCAGCCTTCCCTGCACTTTATCTGATTTATTTTGATGTATTCAACTACTTCCACCTCCAGATTTGTTCTGCAGCCTGGTACCCTATGGATCAATAGACCTATAGAAACAGACTTGTGGTTGCTTAGCTCACTGCCCTTTGCTTGCCCTCCTCTCTGCCCTGCTTAAACAGAGATGTTTTCTGTGTGTCGCTCCCTGAGCTGACAGGTGCGTTGCTACCTGCCCTCCACTTTCACATGCTAGTCCTCATCTCAAATGAAGATTATCCAGCCTTCTTCAGCTTTGCTGCATTAAACTCTTGGCATTTTGCTGCAGGCTCTTCCTCCCTTACATCTGTTTGCCATCATGGCCTTCTGGGGCGTTTTGCTACAGCCCCTGTATAGAGCTCTCCCTAAAACTTATTTCTGTTCCCACCTCATTTCTTCTTGTGTTTTTTAAATTACATGGCTGAAAAGCCTTGCTTTTGGTCTTAGTATCTAACTCAGCTTGGTGTTTAGCAATTCCAGCTCTTCCTACAGATGTTCTTCTCCCCATGTGTTGCTGTTCTCTTCTGATTAATCTTTCCCCTATTTGTAGGCATTTGGTCATCCCAGGACCCTGTTGTGTAGATGGCCACCCCCCAGCCCAGCCCTGAACCCCTCCTAAACTCTTTCCAAATACAGGTTCCCGTACCAGCTCCTGCGCCGCGACAGATGTTTGCTCCCTGCTGTCTTCAGTCCCATCCACTGACATTTCATCCCCATTCACTTGACTATTTAATTTCTAAAATAAAGATTTCCCATTTGTAATTAAGAATCTTCATCACTGTCTCCTTTTCTGTATCCATTTGAATTATGGTGAAGTATCTTGTTTGATCCAATCAAGGTGGCTTTCCATGGCCGGGTCTTCTGTGACACCTCTGCTAATTAGAGGGTAGGCTGATTGCTTGTTGGTTCAGTGAGTGCTTAATGAAGGCATTAATCACTTCGCACATCCAAGGTGTCTGCAGGACAGCAAATGCTCCCACTGATAAGGCCCAGGCTCTTTCTAGGAAATTAAAGTCTCCGGTAAGGATGGGCATTGATAATCACCTCCAGGTCCTTAGGTCCCTGACAAACCTCTAGAGAAACCTTGCCAGCTTTCTTTTCCTTCTCCTATGATTAACTCCAACAGCTTTTGTATCCTTTATTTCTTTTCATTATTACAGTGTTTATACAAAATACCCATCACATTTTATATCTTTCTTTCCTGGATAGCAATGTATACTTCTGATCTGTTTCACTAAAGATTAATGTTCTGCCACATCCACTATACCCATAATGTCATTTTTCTGCATAATGTGTAAGTAACACAATTTCGCTGCCAGAGCTCCTTGCCATAATACACAAACATTTGTTCTTTCTTACTGAAAATGTCAGGGGATGATTAAATACAGCACTTTGGGACTCTTGCTCATACCTCCGGCAGCACTTTCCCTTTTCTGCCTCTCCTCCTACTCACTGGTGTCATACTGTATTATCCTTGTTTACCTGATGCATTTCTTTTCTCTCATTGTGCTATCCTAGCTATGAAGATGATCAGTTTTTTTTCCTCTCCAGTCTTCTACAGCAGGGTTTGAAGGGAAGTTTTCCTTCATTGGTTTCTAGGTATACTCATACCTCACCTCGTTTGAGCTCAGTTCCATTAAGATGCATTGATGTTTGCCTTGAGTTTAATCCATAGATGAGTCGCAAATCCCCTCTTCCCCAGCAGGACCCTGTGTAGATGGGATTACCCTCCACGGACCTGGGGAAGGGCAATTCTGTAGCATCAGCTTGCCAAAATATTTAAATGTATGAAAATAGTAGCATACACTTCAGAGGCGCCTAGGGAGCTAATGGCCGAGTGTGGTTACAGTGCCCAAGAGCTATGTTTGCCTTGAGTTTAATCCATAGATGAGTCGCAAATCCCCTCTTCCCCAGCAGGACCCTGTGTAGATGGGATTACCCTCCACGGACCTGGGGAAGGGCAATTCTGTAGCATCAGCTTGCCAAAACATTTAAATTGTATGAAAATAGTAGCATACGCTTCAGAGGCGCCTAGGGAGCTAATGGCCCAGTGCGGTTACAGTGACCAAGAGCTGCTGTGAGCTCCTGGCTGACAAAACCTGGCCCCTGCCCCATCACAGCAGACCTGGACAAACCCTTCACATCTGCTCTTCACAGGCCTGCTGCTGCTGGCATCGTTCAATGTCTCCTTTGGCACTAATTCCTGGAGAAAGGTGGTTAAATTGGGGGTGCTAATGGGAACTGGGAAGAACCCAGAGAAGGCTGCAAACAGCAGCAGAGAGCAGAGGCTGGCCTGCAAGCAGATAGCTTGGACTTCAGCCCACAGCCCGAAAGAAGAGGGCGGCTGCTAAAACTGTCTTGAAAAACAGCATTACAGCAGTGTGAGGCAGGTCCAGCTGAAGGCGAGAATTGCTTGTGCTAGAAGATGGTTTTGACTTGATTTCCTCATCAGAACTCAGTGAAATTAGCTCAGATAATGAAGCCTGGGCACCCAGTTTGCCATCTTTTCAGGCAAGCTAGACAAAGTCATTGTAGAAAGCATGCATAGCTGTGCAGCATTTACATAGAAGTGCTAAGTGGAGGACACTACGCAAAATCTGTGTCATGCATACCAGTATGGTGACTTTGCCACCTGCAGCCTGAAAAAAGCTGAAACTACTGAAGGAGAGAAAAAAATTGGGAACAATTTCTTGGCAATTTGTATTGGTGCATCTCAGAATACCTGGCTTTATTCTAGGCTCCCAGGAGGAATTATCTAATACACCAGAGAAATAACTGCACCATATTTAGCGAGCTAAAGCAATGTAGAGGGACAGATGAGGTCCCCGTAGGATAAATTTCACCTTGGGAATATGGAACTAGGAGGAAAGGTTTATGCATTCATTCAGTGTGAAATGCTGTGGGTGATGCAGTCTCTTTCTCCTCCATCCCTAGAAGATAACCGAAGCAATGCATGTTGCAGCTTCGGTCCTGTGATATAACTCCTCATGGGGAGCTCTCCCATGAGGTTCACTGCCTTGTTCTGTAGGTGCCTTTGGGAAGTTATAGTCTTATCCCATTGCTCAAGTAATTTATGGATTTTTTTGACTAATTTTTTGGCAGGTCCATATATAACAATGGCACCTTTCAGCAAATAACCTTCCTCTGTCAGAGAAACAGTGGAAATTTGCTTTTATGTTCATTTTCCTGCAGCAGGGCAGAGGCACAACTCAAATTAGCCTTCTGTGGTTTGGCATCTTTTGAAAGTTACTAAAAGTAAATTCTCCAAACCCAAGCTTCCTGGCTTAGCAGGGAAAACAGCCTGTCCTGCGGAGGACAGTTCTGCCCTGAGGTCTGTCTTTGCTTTTCAAAATACTCCACAGCTTCTATTAGACTTCTACAAATTGAGTGTAGCTGGAGAAGGTGCTTACACTTGCCAGGAACTGGGGTCAGTACCATTTCGGCTGCTTTTCTTATTGTCCTTCTTCTGAGCCTGCAGTCATTGCAAGCACAAAGCATGGCTTGAAATTTAAATCGGCCTTCAAGACATTTCTGCAAGTATGATAGCCACTATCTTGGGCACCTTGATGGGCTGAAGCAGTGACCTCCCTAGCC